GGCAGTGGAATGGTTTGCACCCTGCCTCCCCCATGTGAATTCCTTACAAAAACCATCATCCAAGATATGTTATTGGACCAAACTTAATAAAACACAAGTAGGTGACCAAAATTTCACCTTTTGGTCCCTCACCTTCCATCAACTATAAGCTTTTTACCCATGAACCTTCCATTGTTATTTATTTCGAAACCCAATCAATAAATTTAAAACCAAAAATTGCAATATCCTCTCTTTAGAAGAATTTCGTCCCATAATTCAATCAGTTAAACAACTGAGGATATTTCATTCTCATCTCAGATTTCAGTTCCCATGTAACCTCTTACCCTTTTAGTGTTCTTTGGTAGCTTCATTATATGATCCATCACAATATAATCCCATTTATATTCTCTTCCTTTAAAGCTCTATTATGATTCTCAATATCCACCAAGATTATCATGGATTTGATTAACTTGCTATACAATAACTTTGATTATTCCATTATTTTCTTCTCGACTAAGTGCGTTAGCCACCACATTTTCCTTACTAGGATAATATAAATTTTTGCAGTCATAACTATTTATTAGTTCAATCAATCCTTGTTACCTCATGTTTAACTCCATTTGATTTCTCAATTGAGGATAATCTATGGAAATATACCTCAACTTTTTACATCTATAATATATTCTTTGCTCCATAAAACAGTCACCTCGATAAACGTATCTCGAACAAGATTTCTCATTAATCTTTGGATAGATCAAGTGTTAATCTCATAAACTCTAATCCACAAAAATTCAGTTGTTTCAATCGTATCAACCAAGGACAAAATGGTGATAAAATCTATTGTAGAAAAGGTGATAAAATCCATCACAATCACAAACTCTCAAACAGATGGTTTTAATCCTCGAATATATCGTTAAACTTTATGGATCTCCATAGAAATGCAATATTATGCAAATCAAGAAGGTTCCAGAAATTTCTCAAGATATTCTCGGACATGATGATCATATCCCCTGTTCCAATTTCAGAAAATTCCCTCTAAATCTCTGACTACGACTCTAAATTTCTTCAACCAGTCAGCAAACTTCATTCACGATATTGTTCGCAAATTATCTGGTTTGATAAGATTCGACTTCCCACCAATATAAAACGTTAAATTTCCATCATAGAAACAGAAAATCTCACTCTATCCTTGTTTAAATATTTACCGGTATTAAAAATTGACTCAATCTCCTTCAATCCATCATATTACTTTGATTGCATTCTGATCACCAGAAAATGGCGGAGATTTTCATGTTACAAAACATTTTAATGCAACCTCCCTTTTTACTTGCAACAAAAAATTTCCCAGTAAATCTCAATTCTTTCTGCCTCAACATGGATAAATATTCTCAATAAGATGTTATAATATTTTGAAATTTACCCATTTCTTCAACAAACATAACCCAAGTTATATATTCAGGGTGTTGAGTCTAATCTCGACTCACAAATCTTACTTTGTTTCGTTCATCATTTGCACTTCCCCGATTTGATTTCTTAATTCAAAATGAAATACAGGATGAATATTTTTACCTCTTCCCAGGCCTCTGCCTAAGCCTCAACCTCAGCCTTTACCCCGACAAACAGATGGATTATGTAGATTATTTTATGAGGAACTATCTCTTCCCTCTCGGGTAATTAGCGCAATTCTTATCAGATCTGCAGAAATTTCTTGCCATCTAACAATTCACAAGAATTTCATATACACATAATCGAATTGCCAAATATAATAAGGTATCCAAATACAAATATATATACCAGTAAATTCATAATTACATTGGTTAGTTGTAATTTTGAGTTTACCTTACATATCGTTCTCTTAACCCTTCATATTTATTCCAAAGGTACTACATATATCCGAGACCCTTAATATGCAAATAATACAGTTTAAGTCTAGGCATCATGTTGAATACCAAAATCCTTTAAACTTAGGCTTTGATACCATTTGTAAACGCCCCAAGTCCCAAGTTTTTGCATATAATCATGTATTTCATATAACAAGAGATACAACTTTACACATTCGGTCCCAAAAGAACCTACCAAATACTTTCTTTAACCAAAA